TTGGGAGAATCACTGAAATCAAAATTTTCCGAAGATCTCACAGAATTTGTGGCTCTGCAAAAATACCTTGTTCGAAATGAAAAAGGACAAAGTCTAAAGGAGACAAAACTACTTCCAAACCAAGTTGCTAAAGAGTTGTGTTCAGTGTAAAAGCACAGAGTGGTGTAAGATCCTTTCTCTCTGGTGTCTTTTGAGATGATTGGAAGCAAAGTGAAGAAGACAGACACATAGCAATAATAGAGTACTGTGTTTTTTACCCTTTCTGACTCTTACCAGGATCCCCCATCTATCTTCTGTGATTCCCCACCCATTCTCTCTTTAATGTGAGAGACTGCTGCAGAGTGTTTCTCCAAAACGGTTTCTCACGCAGAGCTGACTATTGTGCTAGGTTGCATATTTGAGGTAGCAGATGAGATAAAGGAAAAACCCTACTGAGCACTTAGGAGAAAACCATGACCTGGGTCAGCTTGCACTGAAACGTGGCGCCTTCTGAGGCTCTGCAGCAATTGCACAGTTTGGTTCTGTTTCTCTAGAATAGGGGCTTGAGTGTGTCTATTGGCAAAATGCAAGAGAAGGAGGGGAAAGCATTTAACATAGGGCATTTAAATAGTTCAGGTATTAAATAGTACAGACATGCTATCTAGGCTGGGAAAGGTAGAGGGAAGGGAAATGAAAGTATAGTGAATCCTTGCTACTCTGAATAGACATGGATGATTGTGCTTTTGTAATGCTATATATACTTGCCAAGGCAATCTGATCAGTGTTTGTCTTGAACCAACTAATCAATGCGGTGTTGAGTTCAATGCTATTTATCAGGACAGCTGGAACAAGAAACTAATCCAGTAAATTTCATTTGTTCTCTGGAGTGGGCTTTGTTTTCATGTTAACTTCATGTAGCAAACATTGACAGTACATATTGTTTTCCTCGTTAATGAAACTTGGAACCTGGGATGTTCCCTGCAGCAGTCAAACCATGGCCAACACAGCTGAGCATGCATCTTTCTTTGACACATCCAAAGGTCAGAGCATGCACTGATCCAAACTTGCTCCTTGTGGGAGCTGTAGCTAAACCCTCCTGTCTCTGTGGCCAGTATGGAACAAGAGCTGGAGGTAGCTAGCTGTCTTCGACTCTGTCGCTTGGGTGACAGATGCCTCCGTTTTCAGCTGGGACTAAGAATTGTCAGCAGAGCTGAAACACGTTCCTCTAGG